TATATATCTTATTATGAATATACAAGTAGTCAAGTGTTATTTTTAAAAATTAGATTATCTATATAATTTTGATTAATGGTTAAATTTAATTTTATTTTATATGATTTTATTGTCATTTTTTGTTAATTGTACCCCAAAAAAAATTAAATACTTAATTTTTAAATGTTATATTATTAGTAGACTATAAAGGATAAATAATTATATCTCAATATTTATTCTAAAAATAATATATATTTTTTTATTGTCAAATTTAGTTAATAAATTATTTGTTACATTATAATTAATTGTCAAATAATTTTATTTTATTTTTTCATATGAAACGAGATGGGTCGGTTAAAGCCCAAATTTATTACTCGGTTTACCCATTTACGACGAAAACCCACTAACCCGTCGGGTAAGACTAAACCTGAACTCGAAGATCACTAGTCGGGTAACAGATCGTGTTTGTGTAGGATAAATTATATGCAGGTCGGGTTGGGGATTGCCAAAACCCGCACCTGACCCGACCCATTTATTTACATCTCTAAAAAGGAGTGAAGGACGTTTCAGTCATTTGAAGCCACCAAAAATATTTAACCATGGGATATCTTCACAATCTTTCTTCTACCCCCAATCTCTCATCTCCTCCACAAAAATGGCGCTCGCTCTGCCCAATGCCTTCCTCAACAACAACCTCTCGCCTCCTTCGGTTTCTCTCCACTCCAAGGTACATCATTTTCTATTCATTAGGTAAACCTAAGAACAACAAGTCAAGAAAAATCTTCGAAATCTATGTCTACTTACCCTTAACACAGAATTTTTCCCCCTTTTCATTTCCCCCCCTCGTAATTAACAGGCGAAGCGTGTAGTGGGCCGCAATCATATGCGGGTGAGCTGCAGGAAGAAGGACATACACCCCGAATTCTACGACGACGCCAAGGTTTACTGCAACGGTGAGCTGGTGTTGACGACGGGCGGGACCAAGAAGGAGTACGTCGTCGACGTTTGGTCAGGTAACCATCCCTTTTACCTTGGTACTCGCACTCACCTTTTTGCGGAAGTCGATCAAGTCGAGAAATTTCGCAAGAGGTTTAGTGGGCTCGACCATCTTATGGAGATTCCTGTTCTCAAAGGAGAGATTGTTCTTCCTCCTAAGAAGAAATCTGGGAAAGGCAAAAAGAAGTAGTTTTTGAAAGATTTAGTGTTTCCTTTTTTGTTGAGATCTTGCGTTAATTGTTGAATTTTCGGGTTTGTTTGTAACTAGCTTGGTGATTGAGACATTGGATTACATGGGCTGTGATGAAAATTTCACTTATTTGATTCTTGCTTAGTGGCAGTGGTTTTGGTTGTTGTTGCATTTGTTCTATCATGCTTCAAGAGTAGTGTCTCGGTTGTGTTGAAAATATAAACTGGCAACGATCACACACATTCGGCTCGAAACGTAAGGTATCTTTGTTTGTTTGCTACTTTATTTTTTTTTCTCATTTTTTGGCTGACTTTTGTGAGTGATAAGTGGATGTTGAATGTATATGGCTTTCTTGGAGTGATAGATAGCACTTGCTTTGCTGCAGACTTCTTTCAGGCTAGTTTGGTTCTCAAGTTGGACTATTAGCTATGATTTTTCTTTTGAGTTGATTTGAGTACTTGGTCTTAGTTTCGTCTATCCACAATTGATTTTTTGAGGATGTTCGGTTTGGTCATGTGCAGCTAATGAATGTGTGATCTGCTGGCTGTGGAAAGATGAATAATTTATATTCTGTTTGAATAACTCCATGCAATAGATACTGTGTTCATTTTTTTGATCATGTGGAACCCGATTGAGCTTATCTTCTTATACAAAATACTAATACTTCTTTCTCAATTTGCAGTTAGCTTATCTTCTTATACAAAATATCAGTACTTCTTTAGCAATTTGCGGTCATCTATATGCAATTTTTTTTATCCTTTTTTTTTTTATGATGAGATTTCAAGTGATGAATCAGAAACAACACTAGCTAATATTTTTGAGATGATCAGCGCACATAGATTTTCAAATTTCATTTTGGCTCCATAAATGTCCTTCTAATCCGATTTTATGTTCGCTCTAGAACTCATTAGCAAGCTGAGATTCAAGTCATCAAGTAAAGGTTATGCGGAAAAAGTGTAGGCCGAAAAAAAAAAAAAAAAAAAAAGTGGGCAAGAGTTTCATCTTCTTGTTTCATTTCACCTATATCTGTAGTTCTCTTGCCTTTGTCAAGCAGTTGTTCAGTTACACTCATGATACTAATAATACTGCAGGTGTTCCATATCTTATTATATAACTTTCCAGACTTATATATTTGAATCAAGATGCTCCTAACAAAACATTAAAATCATGGAAACTGGTCTGATAGAGTAAATAGGTGGTAATACTCTGTCTTGTATGTCGATAGGGAGAAAATATAGGGAGAAAATACTTCAAATGCTACCGTTGAAGGATTTGATCTTATGAATATACATTTTACGTAGAGGTTTATGCATTTATATATCTTGGCTGTTTCTCTACATTATAACTTACAAGACATGGCCTTTTTAGGCGGTCTTGGGGTGAAAGAGCAATATTTGACCTTACGTTCCTCTATCTACAATGTCGTAGAGTTGATGGTTCATAATCACCAGTTATATGGTAGATGTGCGCGCATTTTCTATTAACCTAAATGTTATGAAGTAAAAGCTCCTCTGCTCTTGTGGCTAGCCATAAATTTCACCAGCATGCAACGATAAAGTCTAAAACACAAATGCTGCTATTAGACTGTTCGACGAGGTTGTCTAACGGTTAGAGTTATACTTTATTTAAACTGTAAACTTATATTATGGAATATTGTATTATTGTTTATATTGTGTTTTGAAGTATGAAATTTGAATATTTATGTAACAAACTACCAATTTGACTATGCGTCGCGACGCTACAAATTTAAATTTATAAAAAATTTTCTCAACGAACCACCACTAACTAGTGGTTCGGACAAGTAGGGGCCGATCGCACGAGTAGGATTAAATTCTGGCTATTCTTGTACTAATTGAATTAAAACTAAGAAAGCAATAAAAGGTGCATCGTTTTTTAAAGAAAAAAAATAACACATAAAATAATAATCAAATAACATAAGAGAAGTACAATTTCGGTTAAGTTATTATTCAATCCAAATCTACGGTTTACTAATTTCAACTTCTTTATTAAATTGCTAATATATTATCAACACTAGCTAACAATAAGATATGGCAATCGAATTTTTATAACCTAAAATAACCTTTCTAGATTACCTAATACACTATCAACATTAATTCCTAAAAAATAAATTAGGCTATGTTTGGTACAAATAAGCTAGCTTATAGCTTATTTGGTTAGCTTATAAGCTCCCTATATTCAAATAAGTCTCGTTTGGTATGACGAGCTTTTTAAATAAGGTCGGGCTTATTTGATAAGCTTCTTCAGGTAGCTTTTCAAATAAGCTAGTTGAATTTTATATTCCAGCTAGCTTATCAACTAATTTTACCAAACACTTGTATCATATAAACTAGCTTTTCAGCTATAAGTCATAAGCTATAAGCTAAAAAAATACTGATAAGCTGTAAACTAGCTTATCAGTTATCAACTAGTTTTACAAAATACAGCCTTAGTCTAAGCAACGAACATCGTTTAACTTATGTTCACGCTACCTTAGAGATGTATGATCCCTAGTTTACTACTTACAAAACAAGAAGAATAACAATTGCAGATTAAAACCTCGTCTCTAACAATTAAATCATGAATATTCGAAGTAGCTGGCTGAACTAAATCTAACATCCATAATTCATAAACGTTAAAAATAGATAACATGAATAGACTCATCAACAAAATAAATACGGCGTCTTATTAATCAATGAAAAAGATAGATCATTCATTTCATAGACAAATCAAAGTTAGAGTTCAAATATTTCTCAAATTGGATAGAAATCCTAGCCTAACATAATAATAATACTGAATAATAAATAAAAGAGAGAATATAATTATCTCCCTCTTGCGGGTGCAACTTTCCTCTGCGTGTAGATCTCTTTCAGTCTGCGGCTCTGCGCTAGAGGTGGCCAATTGTCGGGCCGCGGCATGGCCCGTCGGGTCGGCGGGCCTCAATATCATGGCCCGTGACTGGCCCGAAATAAACTATGAACAAGCCCAGAACTGCCGGTTCACCGACCCGGCGGGTCACGGGCCGATACAACCCTTTAAAAAAAAAAAAAAATAGCACCGTGTCATCTAGTCCGACCCGAACCGACATGTCCAAAAATGAAATTGTGAACCAGGACCGAACCACGACCCAAAGGGTTCGGTTCAACGAACCAGCCTTTAGGAAGCCGGTTCAGGGCCAATTCGAGCCAGGCCGGGACCGGTTCATGGGCTAGTTCGGCCCGTGGACATGTCTAGTATGCGCCCTCTACCTCTTTTCTTGGTCTAGACATGCCAAACTATCTTACTTAGCCCAAATAAAGCTTTCCACTAATTATAATCATGGCCTTAATTGATTATGTATTTGGCGCCCGAACAATTGATAACGGCAACTTTTGTCCATTGCTCCACATCCACAAAATAATACAATTTGTTGAAAAATAACACATAACCAAATAAAATAAATTCATCCAAATAAATAAGTCAAAAATATAAAATTAGAATAAATTAAGGATGTAAAAATACACTTTTAAATATATAAATATACATATTTTTTGACCAATCAAATTTTCTCAAACTTAAACTGTTACTTATTCTCAAACAACTTAGAATTAAAAACATATAGATGTATGTAAATAAGTACGTGGAATATTACTCAAGGCCTCACAAATTCTCATATACGTACATAGTTTAAACAAATCGAATTAATTAATTTAGACTCAAGATGAAATCATTCTAGGAACTCAAACACATCAAGTATCAAATTCACTGACCACCAAAGTTCGTCATTCTCTATAACAATTGTATCAATCAATTCAACTCATGACACATTCTCTTTGCAAACTAGTCTAGTTTTCTTCCGTTACTAGCCAATATTAAATGTCTCTTCATCCCCTTTCTTTTTTATTTTTCTCATTTTTTTTGTGAGATAGGAAACGAGAGCTCCGTCATAACCCGTGAGTTTTAGCTTTTCGTGCTTGTCTTGCTACAAAACAATATTGAACACTAGAGCCCCTACAGATTGGCAACTGTTGCAGCCATAACTCCATTTTTTTTTTTTTTTGCAAAGTCTTTTCAACTCCACCAGTTATCCTCTATCCTCATTATCCTCAACTACGAGACATCAAACACCGGCTTTCAACATCAAGTCACCAAAGACGGACAAGATTGATCAAGATAATCACTAGCACATCTCAATAACACAATTCAATTCAAGACCAGCTCACTATAAATGATTCACAAAAATATCAACTATCATGCTCTTGATCCCAAAATGAAAACACCTAAAAATATTTAACCACATATAATCAACTCAAGCCATTTAAATTAGCACAATATATTTAAACCGACTCTCATATCATCATCGAAATATTCCACGTACCAGTAAACTCACACTATTCAAGAAAAACATGACAGGACATCAACTTAACAATTCAAGCATATAAGCGTCTCACACTATGAATGCACATCTCCAGACTTAGAGTTTGCACATATTATAAAAATAGAATTTAAAAAGCAAGTTCACCTCATCAGAGACTATGATGCAACAAAAGAAAGTCGTATCCACAGGGACCACAAACATGACATCATCCTAGTTCGTAGGAGTGAGTCGATGTAGACGTATCCAAAGGCCGGGCCAGTTCACGACCCGGCCCAACCCTCCGGGTCGACGAACATCAAATGCTGGGCCCAGAACCAGTTCGGCTATATCTAAGGGCCGGTTCAAATGAACTGGTTCGACCCGGCAGTTCATTGAACCACCGATTTTTTATTTAAGAAAAAATAAAAAAGAAAACAAAATCAACTATGACCCGCCTTTCGACCTGGAACTGACCTTTAAGGACTAAGGGTCCAGTTTAAAAATCGGTAAATCTGGGTCGGTTTCGGACCGAGTCGACCCTTGGCCGTATTCAAGTGGATGCAAACAATAGTAGTGGATACATAAAAAGTGTCATGAGAGAGATTCTTTCTTTTTTTTTTCCTTTTTTTTTTCTTTGATTAAACGATAGTGATGGAACAAAGATGTC